TTCTGTAAGATTCTTGTACTTTCATAGGCATATCATTCTTTACATTAGGGAAGTTTTCTTCTATGATTTTGTTAAATATGTTTTCTGTACCTTTGAGTTGTATTTCTTCACCTTCTTCTATACCTATTATTCTCAGGTTTGGCTTCTTCACAGTGTCCCATAGTTCCTGGATATTTTTTGTTAAGGATTTGTTGGTTTTGAGATTTTCTTTGGTTGACAACTCTATATCCTCTAATGAGTCTTCAACACCTGAGATTCTCTCTTCTATCTCTTGTATTCTATTGGTGATACTTGCATCTGTAGTTCCTGATCGTTTACCCAGCTTTTCTATTTCCAGCATCCCTTCCTTCTGTGTTTTCTTTATCATTTCTATTTCAGCTTTCAATCCTTCAACTGTTTGAGTTGTTTCCTTAATTTTTTTGGTTGTTTTTTCTTGGTGCTGTTTAGATTCTTTGAGAGATTTGTTTATTTCTTGAATTTTTCCCTATTTCATGGATTTTTTGTTTGCTTTTTCTTCTATTTCTTTAAGGGATTTCCTCATTTCTTCTTTGAAGGTCTCCATCATCTTCATGAAATAATTTTTAAGGTCTGTCTCCTCTTCTTCGTCTATGTAGTGCTTTTCAGGTCTTGCTGGTGTTGGATCCCTAGATTCTGTTGGGGTCATGTTGGTGTTTCTATTGCCGAGTGAGCTCTTATTCTGTCTTCTTCTCATCTCTTCTTCCACTGGGTGCTGGTGGGGTCTTTCCGTCTCCACTGGTCTCCTTCCTTCCTGCAGCTGAAGCTGGGGATGGTGACACAGAGTTTGGGGCCTGGAAGGGCTGATGTATTTCCTGAAGCTGGACTCACTGGGGTTGGGGTCTTGGAATTGTTGACATCTTTGCTGTGTGGGCAGATCTCTTGAAGCTGTACTCGCTGGGGTTGGGGTCTTGGAAAGGCTGATGTCTTTCCTGTGTGGGCGGGTCTTCTGGATGCCAGGAGCGGCCCCTGAAGATCAATGGGATGGGTGTTGGGCAGGAGCTCCTGCTGGAGACCCAATCTCACCTGAAGCTGTACTCGCTGGGGTTGGGGTCTTGCCAGGGCTGATGTCTTTCCTGTGTGGGCAGGTCTTCTGCATCTTTTGTAATGTTTCAGTATGTTCCTGTTATCCTAAATCTCTCCAAGACCTTTATCATGAAGGGGTGTTGGATTTTGGCAAAGGCTTTTTCAGCATCTAGTGAAATGATCATGTGATTTTTTTTAGGCTTGTTTATATGGTGGATTACATTGATGGATTTTCATATGTTGAACCATCCCTGCATCACTGGGATGAAACCTACTTGACCATGGTGGATGATTGTTTTGATGTGTTCTTGGAACCAATTTGCCAGTATTTTATTGAGTATTTTTGCATCAATCTTCATGAGGGAAATTGGTCTGAAGTTCTCTTTCTTAGTTGTGTCTTTGTGTGGCTTGGGGTTCAAGGTTATTGAAGCCTCATAGAAAGACTTTGGCAAAGACCCTTCTGCTTCTATTGCATGGAATACTTTGAGAAGAATTGGTATAAGCTGTTCTTTGAATTTCTGGTAGATTTCTGCACTGAGGCCATCTGGACCTGGGCTTTTTTCGTTTGGGATAATTTTGATGGCTGCTTCTATTTCCATAGGGGTTATGGGTCTATTTAAATTCCTTATCTGTTCTTGACTTAATTTTGGTAAGTGATAGCTATCCAGGAAGTCATCCATTTCCTTTAAATTTTCAAATTTTGTGGAGTACAGGTTTTCAAAGTATGACCTGATGATTCTCTGGATTTCCTCAGAGTCTGTTGTTATGTCCCCCTTTTCATTTCCGATTTTGTTAATTTGCATGTTCACTCTCTGCTGTTTGGTAAGTTTGGACAAAGGTTTGACTATCTTGTTGATTTTCTCAAAGAACCAACTCTTCATTGCATTGATTCTTTGTATTGTTTTCCTAGTTTCTACTTTATTGATTTCAGCCCTCAATCTGATTATTTCCTGGCGTCTACTCATCCTGGGGGAGTTTGCTTCTTTGTGTTCTAGAGCTTTCAGCTGTGTTGTTAATTCTCTAGTATAACTATTCTCCAGTTTCTTTTTGTGGGCACTTAGTGTTATGAACTTCCCCCGTAGCACTGATTTCAAAGTGTCCCATTGGTTTGGGTATGTTGTGTCTTCATTCTCATTAAATTCTAGGAAGACCTAAATTCTTTTTTATTTCTTCTTTGACCCAGGAATGGTGAAGTTGTGCATTATTCAATTTCCACGAGTTTGTAGGTTTTCTGCAGTTTGTGTTGTTGTTGAATTCTAATTTTAAAGCATGGTGGTCTGATAAGATGCATGGAATTCTTCCAATTTTTTTGCTGCTGCTGAGGTTGGATATGTTGCCAAGTATGTGGTCAATTTTTGAGAAGGTTCCATGTGGTGCTGAGAAGAAGGTATATTCTTTTTTAGGTGGATGAAATGTTCTATAGATGTCTGTTAATCCCAGTTGGGTCATTAGTTCTATTAGACCCTTTGCTTCTTTGTTGAGTTTCTGTCTGGTCTTCCTGTCTAGTGGTGAGAGTCATGTGTTGAAAGCTCCCACTATAAGTGTGTGGGACTTTATATGTGATTTAAGTTCTAGTAATGTTTCTTTTATTAATGTGGATGTCTTTGTATTTGGGGCACAGATGTTCAGGATAGACACTTCATCTTGGTGGCTTTTGCCTGTGATGAGTATGTAATGACCTCCTTCATCTCTTTTGATTGATTTTATTTTAAAGTCTTATTTGTTAGATATTAGGATTGCTACCCCTGCTTGTTTCTTGGGTCCATTTGATTGGAAAAATTTTCCCAACCTTTAACTCTCAAATAAAGTCTGTCTTTGAGGGTAGGAGTGTTTCTTGTATGCAGCAGAAGGATGGGTTCTGTCTTCCAATCCATTCTGCTAGCCTGTGTCTTTTTATGGGTGAGTTAAGGCCATTAATGTTGAGGGATATCAATGACCATTGATTGCTCATTCTTCTTTGACTTGCAATGGTTGGTGGTGGTGGAATTATGTGTGGATTTTCACTCCTTTGTTCTTTTGGCTGTTGGTAGAGAGGGATTCTCTAATGCCTATGTTTTTCTGGTTGTAGTTAAATTCCTTGGATTGGAGTTTTCCTTCCAAAACTTTCTGTAGGGCTGGGTTAGTGGATACGTATTGCTTGAATCTAGTTTTTTTCATGGAATATCTTATTTTCTCCATCTATAGTGATTGAGAGCTTTGCCAGGTATAGTAATCTGGGCTGGCATCCATGGTCTCTTAATGATGGTAGAATATCTATCCAGGACCTTCTGGCTTTCAGAGTTTCCATGGAGAAGTCAGGTGTCATTCTGATATGTCGACCTTTATATGTTACTTGGCCTTTTTCCTTAGCTGCTCTTAATATTCTTTCTTTATTCTGTATATCTGGGGTCTTGATTATTATGTGGTGAGGGGACTTTTTTGCGATCCACTATATTTGGTGTTCTGTAAGATTGTACCTTCATTGACATGTCTTTCTTAAGGTTGGGAAAGTTTGCTTCTATGATTTTGTTGAGTATGATTTCTGCCCCTTTGAGGTGGTTTTCTTCTCCTTTTTCTATACCTATTATTCTTAGGTTTGGTCTTTTCATGGTGTCCCATATTTCCTGGATGTTTTGTGTTAAGGATTTGTTGGACATAAGATTTTCTTTGATTGATGAATCCATTTCTCCTAGTGTATCTTCAACACCTGAGATTCTCTCTTCCATCTCTTGTATTCTGTTAGTAATACTTGTATCAGTAATACCTGACAATTTGCCCAGCTTTTCTATTTCCAGCCTTTCTTCAGATTGTGTTTTCTTATTCTCTCTATTTCAGTTTTCAACCCTTGCTCTGTTTGCATTGTTTCTTGCAATATGCAGTTTATCTTTTCGTCCATTTTTTGGTTTGTTCTTTTTCCGTTTTCTGCCTTTTTTGGTTTATTTTTTCTTCCATTTCCTGCCTTTTTGGGTTGTTTCTTCTTCTATTTCTTTCATTTGTTTTTTTTGTTCTTTTCTTCCATTTCTTGCATTTTTGCTTTGTTTCTTCTTCCATTTCTTGCATTTTTTGGATTGTTTCTGCTTCCATTTCTTTCATTTTTGTTTTGTTTTTTTCTTCCATTTCTTGCATTTTTGCTTTGATTCTTCTTTAATTTCTTGCATTTTTTGCTTTGTTTATTCTTCCATTTCCTGTCTTGTTTGGTTTTTTTTCTTCCATTTCTTGCGTTTTTTGGTTAGCTTTTTCTTCCATTTCTTGCATTTTTGGTTTGTTTTTTCATTATTTCTTTGAGGGATTTTCCTATGTTCTCTTTTCAGGCCTCTATCATTTTCATGAAAGTGGTTTTAAGGTCATTCTCTTCTGCTTCATTTGCATTGGAATGTTGGAGTCTTGCTGGTATGGAGTCTCTAGAATCTGGTGGTGTCATATTTGTTTTTCTGTTGCTGAGTGGGTTTTTGTATTGTCTCTTTCCCATCTCTTCTTCTAGTGGTTGCAGAAAGAGCCCCTTACTGGTCTGGTGGTTATGGGACCAGAGTTGCTTTTGGTGGGTGCTAGCAAGTCCAATAATCTTGTAGTTCTTCTATTCCTTGTCCTCGATCTGGTCCCTGCACCCACCGGAGCAGCCGGTCCCCTGGTCTCCCTGGATCAGGTAGTTTCCTGGTCTTGCTGGTGGTAGAGAAGTCCTGGAGTCTGGGGTGTTTGGCTCCTACTGGGATTGGAAGCTCTGTGAAGTTCCCAGGTGATCCCCAGGTACTGGACCCACCAAAACAGCTGGTCTCCTGGTCTCTGTGGTTCTTCTGGTTTACTGGGGTCTCAAGAAGGGGGCCTTAAGGCATCAAAAGCTATTTCTGATGTCCAGCCAGAGATCTGAGCGGCCCAGACTTTAGTGTTATGTTAAACACTATAACTCCATAATTTTAAAAAGATAAATCCCTCATATTCAAACAAGAGAGTCTATGGTAATGTGTTACAGAAGGAATAGAAAGTTAACACTGAGTTGTACTTTTCACATTTGTATGAATATTTTTCATACCAAAAGACATAAGAGACATTGAACCCATCATTTTGCCAAGCTCTGCAAACATTTTCGTGAGTATTTCATGAGTATTTTGACGCTCACGCAGAAAGGGGAAGTATGCAGTCCAGGGCTGTTTGTGCTGCAGGCAGGTGGTAAGACTCTCAGAGGAGGATTTTGTTGGAGGCTGAATCACTGTGGGAGGACTACTAAGACCTTGCAAACAGTAATAATCTCCCATGTCTTCAGCCTGGACACTACTGATGGTGAGAGTGAAATCTGTCCCAGACCCACTGCCTGTGAAGCGATCAGGAACCCCAGTGTGCCGAGTAGATGCTAAGTAGATCAGCAGTTTAGGAGACTGCCCTGGTTTCTGCTGGTACCAGGCCAAGTAGTTCTTCTGATTTGCACTGTGCAAAAGACTCTGACTGGACTTGCAGGTGATGGTGACCTTGCCTCCTGATGACACAGCCAAAGAGGTTGGAGACTGAGTCATCATGATATCTGCACAGGCACCTGCAATCACATTTAACAAAATTTAAGAGATGGAATTTGTCATGAAATGTCCTTGTAGTGTCATATTGTCAGAGTGTTACTGCATAAAAATATTATACTCTGGAACAAATCATGTATTCCTTTTATACAAAGAGGAGACTCTGAAAATATCTTAATACTTTGAAATTTCTCACCAGACACCCAGAGAAGCAAGGACATGAGAACCTGGGTCTGCGACTCCATCTTGCTACCCCTGGCTGTTTGGAGCTGCTCAGTTCTCACTATCAAGACCTGGTTTATAAACTCCAAGCAGGTGGGCTGGGTTGGAGGGGCCCATGCAAATCAGTCAGCAAATACAAAAGTAGGTGCCTGGACAGTTGTGTGAAAATGGCTGGTGTCAATCAACAGGCAAATATTCTATTACAGACAGTATCAGATATCACTGGAAGATACTGGCTTACTAGTTTATCTAATAAAGGTTTTGGTTAAAATCCAAGACATATTTAGATGAGGTGACATTTGCAGAAAGAGTACGAGAGCTATTTCAGATTGACAGTCCTGGGGAAATGATATGTTCAAAATTTTTATAGCCTCAAATTAGGTAACCTATAGTAAGAAAACATGCAATAAAAGAAAGTAAAAGTGGGAGGAAGAAAAGAGGAAAGCCAAAAATAATGAGAGAATTGATCTAATTTTTTCAATATCTCCCTTCTCCAAAGCCACTCTTAAACTAAGGATGATGAATAGTGTCTCAGATATTTGGAATCCAGTTTCTGGGTCAAATATGGAGCAGAGAGGTAAAGAGAAGTCCATATTCACTCTGTGGAACTCCTTGGGGGAATCAATTTAAAACTGAGATCAGAGTAACTTTAATCTTGAATCATAGGTAAACCCAACAGAAACTAGCACATATCCTCACTACAATTTCAGGAAATGGAAAGAAGGCTCTAAATGGAAGAATGAAAACAACAATATTTCTTCAAGAAATCATGGATATAGACTAACATTGTCAAAAAGACTTTAGTCCAGAAATGCATATTCTACAGTAATAAAAAAATTAGCAGTATTGAAACTGGGTTAAGATGGCCTTGCTGGAATAATAAACAGGAAAAGAACTTTCCAGAAGAGAGCAGAGTCATCCTAATTCAAGTAACAATTTAACAGAGACCAATCGTATTCAACATCAGAGATTATTGTCATCAACAGGGAAAAATGATTGAATGTATATTAAAATCAATATCAATAACAGAAAACACAGAAACTGCCTGGATTCCTGAAAGTATGTATGAAAATTAAAGGATAAAGCCAGTATTATATATAAAGTATAAGAAATAGAAAAATAAATGAATAAATAAAGCACCATGGCAAAGAGTCAACATTCACAATTTATGCCTGTAATCACAGAACTGGGGAGACAGAAGCAGGAGCATCTTGAATTTGAGGCCAGCATGAGATACATAACAAGTTCTAGTCCAGTCCAATCTGGGCATGGAGACAATATCTGAAAAATGTGCATCACTAATCAACTGGTTACAAGCTCATGGCATTTGATATCTGAAGTTATTTGTCTGTTAACAAGTTAGCATTAAGCCAAAAATATTATTGAAAATTAAATATGCATTTAAACAATATGTACTTTGCTCTTACTTTTCAATTAATGTATATTTTTATACATACACTTTTTAAGTATAAAATGTTAAATTATATCTGATAAACATATTCAAACTCCTCTGTCAACTGATAACACACCATAATAAGAGAGAGATGGTGTGTAGGTTGAGAAAGTTCCCAATCTCAATGTCAAGGACATGACAGATGACTAACTGACCCAGCCTGTGACAAACAAGCTGTTGTGTGCTCTCTTTCTTTGCTAAACATTAAACATTTTACGTTTCTTTGTGGCACCTGCAGTGAGTTCAGATTTTGCTTTCATGACATTTACTGTTGCTCATTCAGATTGGGCATATGAAAACTGGGGTCTTAAAAGTCCAACAGCTCCTGCCATTAATCATGTGATTCTCATAGTGTGTAAGGAGAGACAATTGGGACTAAAATTATTTTTAAAGTCCATGTTATAGTATACATAATGTGAAAAGCCCTACAGAACTTGGTTATGCATCAAGTTTCCACAGTGTGTCCTAATGCATTAGATTCTGTGGGCTGTGATTAAAGATGTACTATATAAACTTGCTGGCTGAAAACAATACTGATTGATTTGATTTCAGCTTTGGAATCATGGTGTCTGAAGTTGATGGCCTTGAGCTCATGAAATAAAGCCCCCTCTTCTATGAACACCACTGTAGATGTAGACAGGAGAACTCAGCTTTTCTGTCTCATCACATAGAATCTTTTATTCTTTTGGTGAGGGTATGTGGCTACCCAATATCCATGACAGGAAACAGTAGACATAGGAAGATTTTCATTACTTCAGATAACACACTAGCATATTATTCCTTGTTAAAATAGAAACATGATAACTGAGGATGCAGGAATACACTCAAGATACATACAAAGAGCCCAGAATCATGCATGTAGCTTCTCTCATGAGAGCCTATGCAGATTCTCTGAGTCTGTGTGAGAGGATGAAGTTGGAGAAGCAGCCTGGCATATCTCAGGTCCCTTTGGCACCCATTCCAGAATGCATTTAAGACAAACCCATTAATGACCTATCTGCTTCAACAGCCATAGATGGCTCAGTGGCAGAACGAGAGATGATGAGAACATGCTCTTTTTTATTTTTATATCTTGTTTATGGGTTTTGAGGTTGGATGCATATCTGTGCAGGAAACATGCCTGATGGCCAAAGAAGACAGAAGTGAGAGTCATATCCCCTAGAATTGGAGGCATGAATCTTTGTGAGCCACCATGTGGGTACTGGGAATGGAACTGAGATCCTCTGAAAGAGCAGCCAGTGTGTTCACCTAAACATTGAAACATGTCCTCATACCCACAACTGCCTTCTAAGTACATAAACTTTATGGAGAATGAGGAAAATCCCTTAAAAATGAAGAACTGTGCACAACTGAAGACTATGACTCAGGAAGAGGAGAGCAGAGAAAGTGGAGGATATTTAAATGCCTTCTAAAGGTATTTTGTTCCTTGTAAAGACTGTTCATCTTTGAACCTGAGATGTGAAACAAACTGCTTACACATAAAAATGACTTTATTTGAAACCAGGTGTTTCTTCCTCTTTTCTCTTCTTACTTCAGGAATTGGGGAAGAGGGACCATGATGATGCAGAATCCAATTTCCTCACCATCATGACAGGACAGCCTGACTCCATTTCTGGAAGAACCACAACAAGAAAGACATAATAACTTCATACTCACAGGAGTATGTCCTTTTCTTTCTTTGTTGCTGTGATAGAACACCTACAAAAGCAAGTTGAGGAGTCTTTGTCCCTCACTTGGGAAAATAGATCACTTGGGTACACAGGTCATGCATATAATAATTACAATGTAGAAGACAAAGTGAAAGGAGCTTGAAGCAGATGCTCACATCACAATCCCAACATAGAGGTAGGATGAAGGATGCTAGAGCCCATGTCAATGTTTTTCATGCAGACACTAAAGAGGAGGGAAGTAATGGTCACACTCATTGCATTGGACTTGACTGGGATTTGTTTTCAAGGTTTGGCCTTGGGGCGAATTGATGGTAAGTCGGCTAAGAATGAAAAAGCACAATGTAGCAAGTGTCCCTGTGTTTCATAGTGAAAACAGTGTGGGTTTATCTGATTCTGTGACCCCAGTGCCAAGCTGCGAATGATGAGTTAGAAGCTGATTGAAATGATTCATGAGTTGAGACTAAGTGATAGTGTTTCTAGGCCAAGTTCTCATGAGCAACTTTTTTGTCGTTAGGGTTGATCGTAATTTTCAGACCTTCAGTCCTCACACTCTCCTTTGTATCAAAGAGAAGTAACAAACACTAAATCTTTACTAAAGGATTCTGATTAATGTTGACTGGTCAATTTAAAGGATTTTATTTAGAGTCTTTGCCAAGATAATGTTTACTTAATAAAAATAATATGGTACAGAATTTCAAACTAAGGAGCAAGTATACATAGTAAATTAACTCATGTCTATCTAAAAACTGAAGTATCCTACACTATAATGTTTTAAAATAGTAGCATTTATGATATGCATGTGTCTGTGAGTTTATTAAGTAGAATACATTAATCTTTTCACTTGATTCCCTTTTATCTCAACCTCAAAGAAACATTTCTAAATTAAAAGCTTTAAGTGTAATAGTTTAAAAATTAATGTACTCAAATATATAATGATGGCAAGAGCCTTGGTGGCAATATATCTTGTGACAAGTAAGTGTGCTTTGTTTACCGTTACTAGAAGGGCAGAACATATGTAAGTTGGAGTACTAAAAAAAATCCAGGGGATGGAGAGACCTGGAGGCACACCAAACCATCTAGCATAAAAGAAACATGGACATCCAGAGAAAACAACAAAATAAGTTAAGAAAGCAATTCAAAAACCTCAAGGCTTGAAAGTTCACATAGAGACAACAAAGAAAACACGGAGTGAGGGAATGCTGGAAATAGAAAAGCTATGTAAATGATCAGGAACTATAGACACAATAATAACCAACCTAATACAAGAGATGAAAGAGGAGCCCTCTGTGGTGGAAGACACACTACAGGAATAAGATTCATCAACCAAAACAAAAACCTTAAGTCCAACAAATCCCTAACCGAAAGATCCACAAAATATGAGACACCATGAAAAGACCATACCTAAGAATAACAGGTATAGAAGAAAGAAAGAAACCCAGGTTAAAGGTGAAGAAAACATATTCAACAAGATCATAAAGAAAACTTTCCCAACGTAAAGAAAGATATGCCTATGAAAGTTCAAGAGGCTTAAAGAACACTCAGACTGGGCCACACAAAAAAATCCCATTACCACATGACAATAAAAACCCAAAAAATACAGATAAGTGGGAATATTAAGAGCATCAAAGGAAAGAGGGCAAGTAACATATAAGGAACACCTATCAGAATTACACCTGAATTCTCAATGTAAACTCTGAAAGTCAAAAGGTCCTGGATAGATATTCTACAAGCACTAACAGACCACAGATGGCAGCCCAGACTACTATATCCAGCAAAGCTTTCAATCACTACAGATGGAGAAAACAAGAAATTCCACAACAAAACAAGATTTAAACAATATATATCCACATATTCAGCCCTATACAAAGTAATGGAAGGAAAACTCAAACCCAAGGAACATAACTACACTAAAAAAACATAGGCAATATATTACTCCACTTTACCAAAAGCCAACAGGGGGGAATTACACACAATCCCACCAC